TCATCACTTAGTCTATTTAAAGAGCCATTTGGAGGTATATTGTCTGACACACGCATCGTACGGGGAAAAAAAACACGGCCAGTGCTAGCACAAACCCCAAAGTCGCTTTTGCGGTACCTATGGATGCTCGAACCTGTCACTTTCATCGCACCGCTGGGTACGTGGCAAATGGATGTCGAAAAATCCGCAATGCAAGTCGAATGATGATGGTGATGAGGAGGAGGCTTATGATGATGATGATGATGATGATGATGACACCAGGCATACGGCGAGAGTTCCCTTGAGGGGGGGAGGGGGGGTCCCGTACGTTCGACACTTGGAGGCTATATCGCAAGCCAAGAGGCTATGGACCAATACTAATCAAAAGGCAGCCAAGCAAACCATAGGCGCAAAATGGACGCAACTGATTCCGCCTGCTTCGGGACGTAATAGGCTTTCCAGAAAGACATGCCGATGAAGCCGCTGGAACCGCTGGCGCCGATCAGGCAAATTGAGCCGATGAGGCCGATGGAGCCGCTGGAGCCGATGGAGCCGCTGGAGCCGCTGGAACCGATGAGGCCGATGGAGCCGATAAGGCCGATGGAGCCGCTGGAGCCGATGAAGCCGATGAGGCCGATGAGGCCGACGGAGCCGCTGGAGCCGCTGGAGCCGATGAGGCCGATGAGGCCGATGAGGCCGACGGAGCCGCTGGAGCCGCTGGAGCCGATGAGGCCGATGGAGCCGATGAGGCCGATGGAGCCGATGCCGCTGGAGCCGATGAGGCCGATGAGACCGATGAAGCCGATGAGGCCGATGAGGCCGAAGGAGCCGCTGGAGCCGCTGGAGCCGATGAGGCCGACGAGGCCGATGAGGCCGATGGAGCCGATGAGGCCGCTTGAGCCGATGAGGCCGATGGAGCCGCTGGAGCCGATGGAGCCGCTGGAGCCGATGAAGCCGATGAGGCCGATGAGGCCGATGAGGCCGATGGACAGGCCGATGGACCAGGCGCGCCACAATGCAAAGCACCCATGCTCTGAAAGTGGAGCTTGGCGCCGGAGATAAATCCTACGCAGTATTGCCAATATAAAGAGAGTTGCAGGTTACAGCTACATGTATCGAGACACCTCAACCCATTTCACCCTGCCTACATGCACAAGAAGTGGTGCCGCAAAATCGACGCCAACCGTCAATGGCACGGGGGGGGTCCCTTTCTCCTGGTCGTTCAAGGATAAGGGGTCCAGCCCGCCCCTTTGTTTCGCAAAGTAAAACTCAAGGTAGCCCGCTAGGACAGGAGGCTACCTTTCGTGATAATACTTATATCATTTTTTGAATTGAAAATATTCGTCAAATTGATCTAATTGGGCCACGCGCAGCGGCTTCCGGCAGATTCGCGGCTTCTTCCTGAAGCAAAGAGTCTTAGAATTCGACGTGCTGGAATCACTGAAATCACATCCTTCACATGATAGGTACACAATGGTACACGTACACTTCAATAAAACCCACCCATCAAACATCATCAGACATTCATAAGAAGCAGGATCATTGGGCGGAAAATAGACGGAGGCAGGATCTAGTGGACAAAAGCATGCTGCAACTTTATTGAATTATACCGTGCTTCGAAAGCTCTCTATCTCCACATTGTGGTATCATCAACTATCGAAAAGCAGCTTCTTCCTATATTTCTTTTTGATTTTTTTGGTCGGATCTCTATAGAGACGGATCTCTACAGAGACTTAATCTGATGATTGGATCCCCTGCATTATGTATTAATAGTCCAAATCAATTGGCTGCGGTCAAGGAACGGATTGGGCACGCAGTTTTCCTTCATGACCTGTGAGCCAATTGCCAGTGGCAACAACGGGCAACCATCCCAATCAACCCAGCTTAAAGGTCTTCGTTTGCTTAAATTTAATCGTTCAAACTCTTATTTTCAAAACAGTTCAAAAACGACCAACTGTCTGGACAGACCTATATTGCAGTTTTACAGGTGAAAATTCTGCATTAGAAAAAAACATGAGTCAACAACAGAAATGGCCAAACATTGCCAATCTTAGACATCTGAAATCTCCTGGAATAAGAAGCCATTTTTTCTAGTTGCTGAATATTTCTCCCCATTAATGGACCGAACAGTTCAGAGATTCTGAGCAGAGTCAAATTCCCCAATCCTGGTCAGGGAAGGTAAATGTGGCCGTTTTAATGGTGTTTAATGGTTTTAATTAGGATTTAACATTATTTAGCACTCTAAAATCGGGATATCATTGGGATATAACTAATGCGTATATAATATTATATAACCAATCATATATGCGGGCTTTGATATTGCCATTTTGAGAAGAACTGACAGAGCTATATTTGGAACATCTATGACCTATGAATATTTCCAGTTCTATGTCGGGTTCAAAAGACAACGTAGCCTCTGGTAAACAAACATGGCTTGAAAATCCCATTCAGTTCAATGATTTTCCCCAACAAAAAAAACTCCAGGTAGTTCGGGGATTTCCCATTGCCAGCCAGCCAATTTTGGGATATTTGCCCTTACCAACCATCATTTCTAGTGATGTCGCGACCTGAGGTCGTTACAATCTATATAATCTATCCAGGAATCAACCATAAACAATCAATATCACCAAATCATGTTTCTATATCCCATTACATCTCCGTTATATCATCATGATCCATGGGTGATCTGACCAGTATAAATCCCTATGACATCCCGTGATGACATCATATTCCCATTATTCTAGCTCCAAGTTAAGCAAGTTCAGAAAATTTACCTATATCATGAATCCATCGTACTCCAGACCTGTCTCTTTGGACCCATTGTTTTCCCAACCTGTTTCCCTGTGTGTGACATGTTTCACACCTGTGAATTGACTGGTTGCGGTGGGAAGACCTTTCAGCTCGATTTGGAAATTGTTTGGCCCCATGTCGATGCCTTGTGTTGTTCCTGAAATGTTATGGAGCCTGGATGAGCTAAAGCGTGCCCTGATAGGTGAGTTTCCCATTTTGGAGACTGAAGTAGGAGAGGGTTTCAAAATATTGTGTGACTTGTTTGTTGAATGGGCTGAAATCCTGTTAAACTACAACAACCAGCATCCGCTCTGTTGTTGAATTTGGGGAATTGTGGCCCAGAATCCTTCTCTCAGGGGATTTCCCGCCGCGCATACTCATGTGGCATCGCACTTGAGGGGTGTCATCGCACTCCAGAGGACCCCATCGCACTCCACATATACTCACAGATCTTCGTACTCCACAAAAGGCATAGTATACCAGAAAAACCGTCGCATACAGCCAAAAACCATTTTTTTTGAAAAAATGAACCTGAAGAGTTTTTTTTAATTTTTTTCTCTTCGGAGGTAAAATGCTCTGGAATATGATAATATGGAATATGGGGGAAATCGTTGTTTTTCCAGCGTTTTGAAGAGTCGCGCATACAATCGTATTCCATCAAATTTTGATACTTTAGACCTGTGGAGGCTATGGAAATTCTCGGTTGTGGTGCTAGCCGTGCAGGATGGAGTGTGATGCTCTCTGGGTATATGGAATGGAATTTCTGACCCCAATTTGATCAAAAAAGATGTCAACATATGCTTGAGAATCCCACATACAACACTGGCAACGCATACCAGGGGGCATCGTACTCCAGGGGTGGCATCCTACTCAATGTAAGTATTCAGTGGAAATATGGTACCATTTGGGTTCGAGGAAGAACAGCGAAATCCAGACTTGGCCCAGTTTGCGGATGCGGAAGCTGAACCGCCAGCCAAACGCGTCAAAAAAATAAGCTGAACAGCTTATCCAATGGTATTAAAAGATCCTATAGAGAAGTTGATGATTGATGAGAGAAACACAAGACTTTATGTTTATTCAAGAAATCATTGCTTGAGAAGCTGTGGACTCAAAGGATCTTAGCGGGGTTAAACATGTGCGATTGGACATGACAGCACGTGCCAAGGGAAAAGGTGCGCCTGACAAGGGTCACACAACCTCATTCTCACCATCAAAGGTCGTTCATTATTTTCCAAACTTCCGGAGCTATTTTGGCATGGAATATGAACAGCCTTGGAATATGGGTAAGATTTTGCTAGAATTATACTACCATTGTTGGTTAAATCCCTGCGTTCGTGATCTAAAACACATAAGATGAGGGATCTGCATGCCATGCTCTGGCACTTCTCAAATGGATAGAAACCCTATGATGACCCAGTTGTATATGGACAACCCCCAGTTACAGATATTTCATGATATTTCTCATATATGCGCTTATACATGGCTTATAGATGGGTTATCACTTACGATGCCCAGGATGCCCCAAGTAACTCTCCAGTCCTGGCCATCTCCGCGCCTGCACTTGGGCGGCGGACGACGCTTCCGCTTCGCCGGCAAGCTGGGCTGCATAGTACGCGTGGCTCCTGGCCGTCACGTTGAATACGTGGCCACGTATGGAAATTGCTGATGATTGGGTTTATCACATTAAAAATCATTCGTAATTAACAATCATTCATAATTAACAATCAGCCATGCCCATTAACTATACATCAATTATTGATTATCTCACTATTGGCTGATGAATGAAGCCAACAGTAACCCACAATGGATGGCTGAGCATTGATTATTTGAACTGAGAACTGGCCAAGATCGCTATCCTCAAAGCCTCAAACTAATCCACAGGCCTCATCTCTTGTGACAAGGCCCGACCAAAGTTTGGCTTGGGGCAACCTGGTTTATAGTCATTGTGCCTGTGTGGGTGTCTTTTGGACACTTCGCCGAAAAGCCCCGCCAGACGGATGTACCTACTGACATCAAAGGGAACTGTGAAGAGCCAGGTGTGCTCAAAGGGCCCCGAAAGGCTTTGGGAATCACCCCTGCTGGCTGGCAGTAGTAAAACATGCTAAAACTTGTGGCCGACTTAACTATCAGTTATGCTCAACCTTCAATTGGCGCAGCAACTCTCAGTAACTTCAAACCACAGTCATCCAGCCAGCTGGAGTTACTTCCACCAAAATTATCGCCCAACTCACGTGGAGGTGTAGTTGGCAATCAGCAAGGCGTTGGTGTCCGAGATAAAGGGTGCAACAAGAAGACGAGATGGTGCGGTTTACACATCACCCCCCATGTCTTGGCCATACTCCACCAAGTCCGCGCACATACGGTCCATGTTCTGCGCGGACAGAATGCAGCACTCTCGATCCACGTGCCATGTCACTTCGGCTGGATAACATTTGTAATTGTCGTAGGACGTACGGGTGGTGGAGCCGATGTACACCATTGAGTCTCTGACTGGTTCGTGCCAGGTCGTGTTGAACATCTTGTATTCTTGTTCTGGCCAGTTCACAATGCGACAGATCTGTCCTCGCACAAAGGCCGTTGGATTTATGGATCAATTGAAGACACCACCCAAGCCACCCGACAAAACCCCGTCAATGGGCCCGGGCGTGGAATGGACCCAGTGAAACTCATAGGTGTAGGCCCATCTTTACATTTGTGCAAGATGTCCAGTTGTAGTCAGCCAAGGTCCAGTTGTCACCCGGTTCCGGTCCCTGGTCCACCGTAGCACAAAAATATCCTGGGCGGATGTCATTCGGAACGATATCCGAAGACAAGGCATCGGTATAGTTGAGGGAATAGCCCCCGGCATCCACGTTTTGGTGTTCACCACCCAAGTGAAAGTGCGTGTTCACGTGGATCAGATTGGGGAACTCATCGTACACTCGGCAATGATTCCAAGCTCTTCCAAGACATTCGATGGATTTCAACTCACAACAGCGCTGAACAACACTTGAACTGAAATCTGGGTGTTCTTCCCATTTGTTTAATCACATTACGAGCTCTTGACAGAACAACACGTTGCTGTTCATCGAAGAACCGACGGGCTTCACTTTCGGAGGCAACAATTCCACGAAATCTTCACTCACATTGCGTGGCGACTGCGGCTCTGCGATGGAGCAAGGACAGCGTGGAGGCGCCGGGGGGGAGGAGGAGCTGGGTGACTCTCTTGACGTTCTGAGTCAATGATCTTCTTCTTGACCCACCATGGAAGGCCCTCATTCAACTCATTGAGCTCATCACCCGTCATCTCTCCTTGGCAACCAAGTTTGAAGGCTTAAAATCTGACACAAGGGAAATTGTGAATAGATGGGAAAGAATCCACTTAAGAGTAGGTATATACATAATACCAGTAGTACCGCACAAGGCGGTGGCGGAAGTTTCAAAAATAGGAAACCTATAGGAGAAGTTGGTTGTTGTGAATCAGGGATGGCAAAGCGAATCCACTGATGGATTGAAAGGTGCTTGATCTCTCTCACTCTTTCTCTCTCTTTCTCTGCCTATCTACCTACCTACCTACTTACCAACCAACCTACCTACCTACCTAACTATCTTCTATCTATCTATCTATCTATCTCTCTCTCTATCTCTCTCTATCTATCTATCTATCTACCTACCTACCTACCTATCTATCTATCTATCTGTCTGTCTATCTATTTATCTATCTATCTCTCCATCTATCGATCTATTGTAGTTGTAGTTGTAGTTGTTGTGGTTGGTTGTTGTGGTTGGTGTTGTTGTTGTCGTTGTCGTTGTTGTTGTTGTTGTCGAGGTTAGGGTAGTTAAGTTAGTGAAGTTAGCTAAGTTAGTCAAAAATAGTTAAGTTAATCAGTGTCTACTTTTTCGACATCTTCACGTCAAAAAAGGCTCAAAAACCCTCAGTTTTTTACACTTTTGACTTCGAAATGTGCTTCGCGCCACAACGGCGTGCACTTTTTCGACACTTTTTCCACATCGGAACCTCCAAACGTGGTCCGAGACCGTCATTTTTTTACACTTTTGACTTGGAAATGTGCTTCGCGCCACAACGGCGTGCACTTTTTCGACATCGCAACTTCCAAAAGTCGTCCGACACTGAGGTGTTTTCTACATTTTCACTTCGAAATGTGCTTCGCGCCACAATGGCGTGCACTTTTTTGACATCTCAACTTCCAAAAGTGGTCCAACGCTGAGGTGTTTTGTACATTTTGACTTGGAAATGTGCTTCGCGCCACAACGGCGTGCAATTTTTCATCACTCCTGTGGCCAGCTGGCTCCGCACCCGCCGCTTTAGCGAGCCTACTTTTCGACCCTCCGGAGCCACAAATCATTGGAAAAACACAGTGTTTCGCGACTTTCCTACCTTTTCGCGCATCTGTATCTTCTGTCCTCTTACCCTTTCTCTTCTGATCTTCTCTCTTCTAATCTTCCTCTTCTCTCTGCCTCTGCCCTGCTCTGCTTTTCATCTGTCCATATTGTCGGAAGTTTGACTTCTAAACTTCCTTCGAATATATATATATACATAATATATAATCAATATATATATAATAAATAAATAAATATATATATATATATAATATGTATATATTGATTATGTATATATATATATATTCACAAACGCATATACATCACATATATATATATGTATATATATATTATGTATATATAAATATATACACATAATATATACATCTATGTAATAATATAGTGTAATATTATAATATGGTAAAATATAACAGAATATAATACAATATAATATAATATGATATGGTATAATATAATATAATATAACATAATATAATATAATATAATATATAATTATATATATATACGTATGTATGTATGTATGTATGTATTTAGCACTATTGACTATGTCCAGAAGCATTTCAACGAACATACAGTTGAGTAGATGCAACACCAGTGAATTCACAAAAGCTGTACGTTGCAAAGTAACATTGCCGAATGAACGCTGGAATTTATGATTCAAAACACACAAAATTAGATGCTGCAATGCAAAAAGTAGAAACATGAGAACTACAAAGTGTTCGAAACTACTTAGAATGCATTTTCCCAGTGGGCACGTCAAAACAGCATATCAGTAAATAATCCATGACAAACAAAGTTAGCATACAATTGCATACAATTGCACTGTAGGCTTTCTCCCTTTTTACAGGCACACAAGGAAAAACATGTAGTTTAAAATCATTAACATTGTAACTCAACATTTGGAATTTGAATATGAACAAGGATGGTGGAATAATAGAATAGAAATCAACTACATAAGCAGTGACCACAAAAAACATAAATGAAGGAAAATGGACAGGACAAAAACGGGTAGAACAAACTCGGTTCTTGATAGACTAGCCTGAAAAGGAGCCTGGGTCCTACACTGTCAGCTAGAGCCAGAGAAAACGTCTCAGAGTCTCAGATCTCGTCAGATCTCCTAAACATAGCCAAGCGGGAAGAACTCCTGAGTGTTAAGATGTCTTAAGTGATCTTTGATCCAAGTCTCAGTGATTGAGCTGTCAGAGTGGAGCTTTCTCCTGAGACTCCTCTTGATAGCTCTGCTCTGCAAGCGTCTGCATCATAAGAACCACGAGAACCGCAACCCTCGCCATGACGCGATGCCGGGATATGCCAAGTCTCCGAGAATCTGACAACCCGAAAGGGCCTACCTGCTGAGCCACTAGCTGACACAATGCATCTCGACAGAAGCCAGTGGCGTCATTCAAAGCTGCGGTCACAACAGTCTCAACTGCAGTTGAGCCCTGGCTTCAATGATTCGACCAGATTAGACCTCGTTTCTGTTAAGAAATACCATGCAGTAGTGAGATTCCGATAGATTATTGGGATCTATAATGGGATTTATTCTTTGGTTTCCCTACCATTGACCCAGCTGATCTTCGGCCCTTAAAAAAATCACCAATCAGCTTGGGCCATCGGTTGCTGAAATTCATCATGATACCACGAGCCGCCAGAAAATCCAGAAATTTCAGATGGCACCGAAAAACTTTCACTTTAACAAATTCCAGTTGATTTTCCTCTTGACATTCAGAAACTTCTATGATACTCCAAAATAAGCTGTGTCTGAAAACTGGGGATTCCCCACCAATTGCAATATGTATCCCCATAGCTATGTTAAGTTACTTACCCATGGTTATTATATGGTTATTACCCACAAATTGCCATTACAATTGGGAACATTCTGATTACCCACTGGTAGTTTAGCATAGCTATGGAAACGCCACATCGTTTCTGGATATATCATCGATTTCATCATCGAACTCGACGGGCCATGGCTTCCATAGCTATGTTAAGTTACTTGAGGGAAATAACCATATAATAACCATATAGTAACCATACAACAACCATATAATAACCATATAATAACCATATAATGACAATATAATAACCATATAATGACAGTATAATAACCATATAATAGCCATGTAATAACCATATAATATACAACCGCTGTTCATGCCTTGCCTCTCTGCCCTGCCTGCGAAGGAACTGCATCGGATGCTTCATGGCTTCGAACTCACCTGAATGGCTGCTTGAATGTGACCAAAATTGGAAGGCTGAAACTTACCCTCTGGTACACTAACATAACTATGGAACATCCCCACTTTTCATAGATCAATCTAATAATTGGTCATTTTTCAATATGTTAAACTACCAGAGGGTACAACTAAACGTATACTTTGTCTGCCGGATAATTTTTTGGATCCCAAACAGCAAATGAGACAGCAAGAAGGATGTAAGCTGGGATACCCCTTGAAGATTTAATGCAAAAGGTTATCTGGTGGTTGAGCCATAAGTCGGGATCCTCCTCCCATTTCTAGGGCTGAAGCAATCTTTGAAACCGCCAACTATGTATGGTGTTCTCCGCGGGATATTGATCCACTGACCCGGTGACGCCAGCGTTAGTGCTGGCCCCAGTATACAAAAATCACCACACCTGACTCATAAGCCTAGTGATTAGGACATTCATTCCAATCAAATCCCATGGCCCATGGCGCATACCTCCATTTAACTGGAAGCAAATCAACTTATTGATCCGCATATTGGATGTGTCACGGGGGGTCATGGTGTGTCTGCAAACAGGGTACATACCCCTATTCAAACGGCCAGAACTTAGGGTATACCCCATTTTCAGACCCACTCAAATATCAATTTGTTAGAGTGAAATATCCCACAATATCCACACAATATGTGTGGATATATATACATATATTATTCTATGTATTACTGTATATGTGCAAGCCATTTACAGCCCCAACATATTCCCATTATCGCCCCATTATATATATACATACACACACATTATATAATATATATATATAAAGCAGGACACCAACAAAACCACTGGCGCCACCCTGCTACCCAGGGACTTCCGGGATGACGACTCTGAAAAACGCGAGCGCAACAGATCTGTTCGGAGGCCTCGAGTTGTTTTTTTCGTGTAAAGAAAAGCACAATGGGGTGATTCGGTGGTTCGTAACATGTGGGAACTAGTGGAGATGTATTTAACATTTTTTTAGCCATATAATTACAACAGGAAATCAATGGAAATCAGAGGAATGTAACGACCAACATTGACCAACTATTGTAAATGGCTGCTGGATTGGAAGCCCGTGGGGACTAGAGCCTACTAGCATCTACTAGCCATGGATTCCAATTTTGCAGGAACACCTCAATATGGAATGGAATGGAAAGGGATGGATGGGCTTTCAGCCCTGACCTCAGCTTTTTGATACTGTTGGACCTCTCAACTAAGTCATTACGAGATATCAATCGATGACATAAAGCCTTTGTCGAGAACTCCCTGATGATTTAACATAGCTGTGGACAATAGGAAAATCAATCCCATATGCTCCATGTATGGAAAATATACCAATATTTGCCCTAAAAATCACCCAAATGTAGGTAAATATACCATACATAGAGCATATGGGATAGGAAAATCAATGAATATCACTATCAAACCAATCGGTAAAGCGTCGAACTCAAAGGGCCAAGCAGCCAGACCCACCGGAGGAGACACCTGGTCATCTCAGCAAACGGTCGTGACCGGTAAGCAACCATGGCCGGCTGGAAAATCCACTATTTAGGGATAATTTCCCCCATTTAACCGTAGATTTCCCACTATTTATCCATGATTTTCCAATTTAAACCTTAATTGTTCTAGGGGATTTTCCAGCCAGCCACTTTTGATTACCGGAGGGTATTTGTTTCTGTTCATTCAGAGTTCGTAATGTGGCAAATCCAATGCCATAAACATACCATTGGGGGATGAATTATACCATCCGTTTATGATTAGTTTGGTTTACCAAATCTTGGGGATGGTATGATTATTCGCCTCAAAAATCCCCAAAATCAACGGATGGTATAAATAGATGGTAAATCATCTCCAAAGATGGCTTTACCCCATTATTCCTCAAAGATATTTCAGATCTTATTAGTTCCATCGTTCCACCCACAGCCCCAATGATCCGACACCATGTCCGACCTCCTGCGTCAGCACTTCGTCGCCCCCACCGTGCTGCCGCAGCAGTTCCCTCAGGTCGGCCTCTTCGAGTGACCTTGTGAGTCGATGAACATGATGAACATGGCCATTTAGCCAAAAATTTATGGATTTCATGGGGTTTATTTGGATTTATGATGATTTATGGCTGTGATAATAGTTGTTTTAAACATGACTCACCTGAGATGATTTCCCTCGAATCCTAATCATCATGCCAGTGGTGTCGCGGAATATTTCGTGGTACCTACTAAGGATCAATGTATTTGGATCCATGAGGAGAATGGGGGACAGTTTTTGGGAACGGGAATATTCAATGGTAATATACTTGTTGCCATGGGATATCTCACCAACTAAATTGATTTGGGTCTGTCTGAAAATGGTGGACATCCCAAAACTACTACATTTTTCACAGGGAAATAAACTTCCAAGTTCTAAGCCATTAATTTTTGGGATACTTACCCCATAATTCCCTTTAGATTCTAGTATATATCTATAATCATAATATATATATATTATAGACAAAGCCACATGAATTGTCGCTTATTTCTTGGTATCGGAGCCTTAGGCCAAGTCACTTGAAAGGACATCCATGGGCTTCAGGGCCCTGGTGTGCTACACACGCAAGAGTGCTGACATGTCCAACTGAACATGTCTGAACACATCTAAACATATGGATACATATGGATTTATGAGGCTAGATTACAATAGATTATGTACTATACAGATTACCGGAGGATAATGGAATATTATCGATTGAAAGGATTTCAAAGAATCTTAGCCGTGGTTTTGATGGTTTTGATTCTTGCATCCTCAAAGGATATTCTATGGTGAACGCTGTCACTTGGCACTTGAATATGGTTTCCGTCTGGGTCCAACCGACTCCCCCCAAAAAAACAGCGAGGAAGATTGAGACGGAAAGACGCACACCGATGTTCTCCATTTTTGATGGTCAGTTCATATGGGGGTAAATCTCTGATTTTTGGACGCATATGCTGTGCTTTTCGTTGGAAGGTTTCGACATGTTTCAACAAACCCAGCCAGATGGATGTTGCATACTCACTTTCGTTGCTTACCCTCTGATAATTCAACACCTTGCAAAATGGAACGTCATCATGAAAGAAACGACAAATAATCTTTAGAAACATGGGCCACACCAATTACATAGCGAGTTGTTAACTTCCTGTTGCTTTTTTCATCCTCAATTGAACCCTTAAAAATACAAGGGGCTGTCACAATCCCCAATAAATTCATAATAGTATACCATATAACATAGTATACCTCCCTATATTTTCACCAATGAATCAGGCGATTTTTAATGGCTCAATTTTCACCACCCCCGGTGGGTGCCTTGGGGACGGGGAACTGCATCTGGTCCAACGTCCTCCAGCAGCTCCAGCCATAGGCCGGTTTCCGCTTGCCTACAGACCCATGGGATCTTGACGAACACAATCATGGCGAATCATGGGGTGAACATTATGAGGTTTAATATGGTTCATTGGCCATTAAGCCATAATAATGAACCCCATTAAGCCATGATTGTCCCCAAGCCATTAATAGACCCATGGGGTTCAATCGTTCATCATGACTCATGGGACTATCATGGGCGAATCATAGCGAAATCATGATGACTCTCGGCCACTTGACAGAAGACAGATTTGACCAAGAAACAGGTGCCATTGAGTCAGTCAAAATATACGTATCCTACAGGGAAAAAACAAGGTTTTAACATCTTTAAACCAACAATCATTAGGATCTAGCCAATAGAAATGGGGACTTCACAAAATTGGAGATCTGACCAGCGGACATGGACATCTATGAGGACTTGAACGACAAAGTGGCACCATATCAGCTACACTGGGTCAACGATATCTACTTCTTTTAGTATCTAACTTTAAATAGGTTTGGGGCTGACTCTGGAAGGTCAACTTCAAATCAAGGGCTTACACGTATATATATATATATATACATAATATATAGTATAATAATATTATATAATATGTATATATATATATATATCCACAATTAGTTACAGACTCCCAGATTCAAGACTTCCCAGCCATTGGATTTTAACCATTCTGCTGCCTCGTCTTGAAGCCGCTTTCATAATGTCAGAACTTCCCTCGCCTTCCAAACCATAGGCATGCTTGATGTGATAAGCGTGCTCTGAATCAAAGCTCTCCTGGCAAATCATCGCGGATGCTGATTTCAGAGGGAAACTGAGGTTCTCTACATCACCAACCTTAGACAGCCTGCAAAAACAACTTTTTAGTTCTCTAGCTGGCGAAAATGATGCTTACATCTGTTGATATAATGTATGTATGTCCCCATGTGAAGCAACATATTAACTATCCATCACCAATCGGTTTAACCGTATTTTTGATGGTAGACCCACTTTTTTTGGTAGTTGCTTAAATCCCATCCAGTCGATTTACCTACAGGTTCAACCCAACTATATTTCCACGATATTCCTATCATATAAGTGTTGGTTCTTTTTGATAAATCCACCATAGACTATCCATCCAGTTGAAGCTTTCCGGGGTTGAACACCCATTATTCCCAAGATATTGCTATTAATTGTTGTTTAATTCATACTGGTTTATACCCCCTATTTCTTTTGCTAGTTATGAACCCACCAAGAACTAAAAAAAGTTGGTTTCACTAGGTTTGAAGCTCAATTCTTACGAAACCATGACACATACCCCTTTCACACCCCATTGAACTGGTTGGAAAATACGATATTACGGCTTATATCTATATATATTATTATATATATATAATGTAGTAATCCCGTAATTACCAATGAACCAGTTAGTATCAACCCAAACACAACGCAAACCACATGTTTCTAGAGTTTTAATTAACCATAATACATAATATATATAATTATATATAATTATATATATATATCTTAATATACCATAATTAATTCCTGGATTGTTTTAATTTCATATATCACCATATCACCATGAATTCACCCAGTTTTCTAGGCTCACCTGTGTGACCGTGACGTCGCGTAGGAACTCCCGGCGCCACCATGCGAGAGCCTCCTCCAAGGGGAGCCTTGGGCCGACGGCACCCATGGGAGAACCCATCGGGAAACCATGGGAAAAATTGGCAAACCATGGGAAAACCATTGGAAAAAATAAGGGTTTTCTACGTCGAAAGGATCCATTGAGAAAACCACACTGGTTTTAAGTGGGTTGGCCAGGCCCATTCAGAGCATCAAAAATGGAAGCTGAGACGCTTTCATACTCAACCATGTTATCTCTGGGTCCAGCTATGGCAATACGAAATCCCCACTGCAAACAAATGTGTATGTACATGTATGTACAGTAGATGGTGGATTTTCCCGATTTTACATTGCGAGCTTGGAGGGTACATGGATTCTGAGGCGATGTGCACATAAATTGCCCATGATTTCTGGGGAGGTTGACCATGAGGTCGTTGCTGCTATTCTCCAGAGATGACATGCGTTTCCGGACATCTTGGGGACTCTATTCCGATTTCTCCACTTGTATGGAAGTGTCCCAAAATCAGGTATACCCATAAACATGTCAATTTGGTCATTTGATCGAATGATGATAATCCATGGAAATTAGGGGTGTCCAAGTTTCAGTCAAAGCCATCTCGCAACGAACCATCCGACTCAAATCTCAGCACGAGCAACCCAGCTTCCCGTAGCAAGGGTCGCAGTTGCTTGCGGCCCAGGTGCCTGCCCATGTCATTGTCCGACAAGTCACATGTCATCACTTCATCCCCCAAGATATGGTACAGCAAAATAGCTTTTAGCCCCAATATTATGGGTCTGAGCTTAAAATTAATTCAGCACTAAAAGACATCCGCCCTTACCAAATCATGGAGGCTTTACTCCTGCACCGTATGTGTATGTATATATATACATATACATATAATTACATATGTATATATATATATTGTAATATGTATTGATACATGTAAATTAATGACAATTCCTACGAGTAAAAACACCACAACCCACAGCCAGGCAGCTTTAGGTGTTTCCCATCTCGTTGAAATTTCACCAAGTATTGCATACCTGCAGAGCAAATCAAGTTTCAGCGGAACGTCCTGGGAGCAATTCACACTGCGGCTGAGCATTGCCCAGAAAATCATTTCAGGTAAGATGGAACATGAACAGTTGGAACTACCAACCAGCAAAGGAGTAAGATTGGGACGTGTGCATCTGTTGATCAACACACTTTCTGATTCCCACGAGTCAAACCAAGGACCATTTTAGAGGTTTGAAGGCACACTTTGACACTCGTGGGATGGCTTGCGACAGTCAGCCGCCAAGGGTGATCATTCTCGGCATCCGTTTTGAGGTCAGGGGAATCTAGCCGCAAAAAGGCTGGTCAACAAATGTCAACAATACCCTTTTCTGTGCTTTGGTATACCATTGTTCATCATTTACTGGCTGATTATCATCCAATCAAGGGGGACGAGGACCTAGGACGTCTAGGATATTTGGATTGTGTTTTCATCCTTTGGTTTCGCAGGCGAGCCGACATCATCTACTGATTCTTGAGGTCACGTCAGCAATGCCCAATTCATCTGTCAATCCGAAACCTACTGATTGAAGCCGGGCTTTTAAGCTCATGGATTGTGACAATCGCGATGGAACCACCTAGTACAACCTCAAATGCCCATGTCTGGCTTCACTTATGGCCATCAAATAGGGAACATGTTGGCTACATGTTGGCCATAACTACCCCATCTCTTTCCCTAATTTTCCTAGATTCAATTCTTCCCAGCTTTTCCCAGAAATCGTTGGATTTTGGCCGACGACCTGGCTTGACCCAACGGGCACATGGTGGAAAAGACTTCTCATACATCTCCTACAGCCGCTGAAGTTTCCCAGGAGATTCAAGGGAAACCATTGGAATTTCACGGGGGAAACATGGGAAAACATGGGGTTTGATAAGACACAGGATAATTGTGGGCCCATTTTTCGGAAATCATGGGGTAGGTAACTAGTGGACAATTATAGTATTCACCATCACCAACTTGGGTCTATGAAATTGGGATAATCATGAGATACTGTTTGGGAACTTTTGGGAGAAGTGTAATTCCGTCAACACCCCCAGCAAAGAAGGGACCGTGAACCTGGGTATACCCCGCGTTTTGGAACGATGCAACATGACCCTCAAATGGCATCAAATGACTGGTTACTCGAATGGTTCATGGCATTGGGTTTAGCACATTAATGCCTTCCCCTACATCCCTACATCCGAATCATCAACCAGATAGATCGTTGGGAATACGTAGGAACACATACTCAATGTAAGCAACATGAGATTCAATCACCAAACATGAGGGATGGAGATTTCAGCATCGGCATCATGGAGATTTTGATGGGATGGCTTCAAAGCCATGATTTCCATTGGTTCCATTGCTTCCATCATTTTCCGGATGCAGTGAACACTCAACATCCAGCCTTCCCAAGCATTGTAGTATTGTAGATCCAAACCCTGTTTTCACAGCCTCTTGGCAAACTTTCATCTGCTGACTGACTGAGTTTAAACCCACCAGTGGGCCACAGGCCGCCCAAGTGTTTACCCTAAACCCAACCCGAAGAAACCCCTGGTGACATGTATTGGATCTATTCATGACTTGGGTCATGAAAAATAGGCGTAATACACTTTGGGGGACCTGATTCTCATAGGTTATCAGATGGTTATCAGATGGCTATCATCCAACACAACACCTTATTTTTGGCCATCGATGGTTTCTGGAAAATCAACCTGGACAGGGGACATGAGGTCGGCCGCCACTGGAAATTGCCCATCTTCATCCGGGCATTGGTCAACACGTGGTTTTAACCTGGTTTTCACACAATTATCAGTGACATTTGGATGTTCATCACCCCATCAACTGAGGGTCTGACTTGATCGTATCCATAAAAATATCCCATCATCCCATCACTTCATCTTTCCCGCCTGGAAATTGCTGAGTTGCAAGTTGACGCCTGCTTCATCCCCTGGGAAGAAAGTGAGTCTGCAGTCTGATCCCGTATGGGGTAGTGACTGTCTCATGCATGATCATACCAGCCAAAGCGGCACATTGTCTATTTATATATATATATATGTATATATATATATAAGTCGATCATTTTCTAAGTTAGTGTCAGTGTACAACCCCCACTTGTTCTTTCTTTCTGTCTTTCTTTGTTCATCTATCTATATCTATCTATTTGATCTATTTGTTAAATTCCTCTATGATTTCTCCCTATATACAGTAATCTCAAGCAGTACCAGAACATGGTACCAGAACATGGTACCGGAACATGCCTGTGTTGCCTGTGTTGCCTCTTCAAGCTTATCGCCATCATCTCCATGTTGTTTAAAAAGAGCTTACTGTAAACGTCCTGCCGGATTCCTATCTCATCCTATCTCAATCTTCAGAGGTACCTCTGGAGGATAGTAGGAACTGCTCTAGCTGAGGCCGCAAATGATCAACCTGAGCCGATTCCCAGGTTTTCCTTCCCTGGTTGAGGCTGTCCGAGATATGTGTCTTCACACCCAAGGCGAATCATGTTCTCAAAAAGTGAAGGTTGAAGTCAGCACAAACACCACGGGATGTCATTCAAATAAACATGAATAAATGTGAAGAAACTTCTATTTTCACCAGGTCCAGGCTATGGACCAAACCCAATTTGTAGCTGCGGCGCAAAGCCAGGAATGAGACAGGAACTTGGATACAACTCAACAGCAAAGCCAGGAATCCGAAACAGCAAAAATGGCAAGCCGCATTCCATAGGCCATCTGAATCATTGAATCATCCACCATCCATTTTTCAAGCAAAACGTGGCCGCAACTAGCACCAGCCAACGAAAGAGACCATCCGAAGCGCATATTGTGAGGCTGTTGGACAGATCCAGTCAGATGTGTCATGATTCACCAGTGGCAAGGAGACCTTGGAATCTCCTCTGGCTCTTCATATGACGCCCTAGTCTTCCAACACCCAGTTCGTTTTGAGTTCCAGATGTTCTATGTCAAATGACTGCTAGATGTGCACGCAAAATGCACTTGCGCTGCATTTCTGTTGGCCAATTGGGATTGTCAATAATTGTCAGGTATGTAAGACCAGGTGGTTCTAAATCATTCTAAATCCACATTTAAGGTCTTAATGCCAGAACTTTGGTAGTTGAATCATGTTGAATCCCATAAGAATGACATCATGGAAACCTAAGGTGCCCCCCTGTGTCGACATCCCCCAAGCCCAGCTGCTGTCTGCTTCAGTTGCTCGCTATCCCGCAGGAGTAGCTCCACGTGCTGCCCGCTCTTCTGCAGCACTGTCTGCAGATGTCGCCGAAAGCATTGACATAGCAAGGGCAGAAAGTCCTGTTGCTGAGTTTCAAAGCAAATGAGGGGTTCGAAACCCTTCAGCGATGCTTTAAATACTACAGTAGTTGGTTCACAGAGATATAAAGATAGGTTCATAGGAATTCTTACACGTCCTTGCAATGATACCAATTACCCAAACCAACAGGGGAGCATGGCAACCTCAATGGGCCTGGCCAGCCATGTATTCCCTGTTCCCTTAGCCAATGATTGGCAACTGGAGTCATGAGCCACAACTAAGAAACATATATATATACATATAACATATCCTCCAGTAAACTAATATAGCTACGGAACATGGCCCAACTTGTAGATGATTTAAGAGATCTTACATATTAAACATTGTGTTTTTTCCATAGTTATTTCAAGTTACCAGAGGGTAAGATAACATTGATCTCACTTCAGATCATCCACATCCTAGCGAAACAGACAACAGTAGTTTGCAGAGAGAATGAACATGAAACTTGTCAAATTTATCGTGTTCAACATATTATGTTTTGTTTTTGTTTCGTGGTATGTGGTCTCAAAGAACGACTCACTGACATCTGTTTTCAAAGTCTTATCCCAGTGAAGATTCTCCCAGCAGAAGAATTGCCCAAGAAAACTTATGCTGGTGACATGGGTCAAAATTTAAGGCCCAACGGCTTGTATATATATACATATACAAAAACATATACACATATATAAATATAGGCATAATCTATATGTATATAAACACATATGCATATATATATATTTACATATATATATATATGTATATATGTATACAAATATGCATATATATATATATTTATATATTTATATATATTTACATATATTTACATATATTTACATATATACATATGTATATGTATACGTATATATATATGTATGTATGTATGTATGTATAAATATACATATATGTATATATATATACATATGTATATACATATGTATATACATATGTATATATATATGTATATACATATGTATATACATATGTATATATATATATATACATAGATAAATAAATATATATATATATATAAATACATATGAAACATATATATAATCAACATATCTGTATATATATACATGGAAATAATATTTATGTACAAATATACCTACATAGATAAAATACACACATAAATATAATATATACATAAAAATAATATATACATGTATATACATATATACATACAAATATACACATAAAAACATATAATCGTGAATATAAACATATGAGGTATATAAATACAAACGTACAGAGAACGCATCCAACTTTTCTGGTGGTATGGAATGACTTGCTACATACCCGGTATTTTCTTAGGTCCCGGAAGGTCCCGGTGAGGTTTTCTCCCTGTGGCAATTCTAAGTTGGTTTAAGCCGGGCGAGCCAATATGCCCTGATTAGAATCCCCAATTTTCGTTGCTTCAAATCATCATTTATTCATGTGTGTTATTGGTTTGAATTTCCTGAGATTTGGTGCGTTGAATGCATTGGCGGATGACATTGTTGGTTAGAATCCGCAAGAGTCAAAAGGTGTTACCCCCAATCCAGGTGTTGGTTCAGGTCCCCAAGATTTGTTGCTTCAACCGTCCATTTGTTGATGCTTGGAATATCCCCTATCTGCCCAAAGAATGGACAGTAAACATGACATAATATTGCCATGAATTGGTTGAATAATCAACATAGGAATTATATCACTACATTGGGTGTTCAAATCCCCGGTTTCTCCAGAGGCTTCCACCCCATTTGCTATGTATATTTCTTATACACCATATCCGAGTAAATCTCCCCAGAAGATCCCATGAGATGTTTGCATAACTTAGAATATCTCCCTATCCTTCCCATTGTTATTTTGACATTTTTTTCCCCCAATAAAAAATCCCGATTTATCTCCCATGTTTCACCCAGTTTTTCCGTTTTTGTTCCCCAATTTTCCCCACTTTCCCCGTTGAACTGCCCTGTTCCCGCAACGGCGCCTGTCGCTCCACCGTCGCCAAACCCTTGCGGAGCTTGCAGCGCCGCTCCGCCAAGAGCTTCGGCGGCAGGTCCGTGAAGGGCATGGACACGGCGTCTGAAGCGGAGGTGATATCATAATCATGAGATAATCATAGATAATATCGGGAAAATAGTGGATAATATAGGGATAACATAGTGGATAGTATATAATTATATATATATATATACACATACACACACATTATTAAAAAATATATATATATATACATACATATGAGTGTATCTGAAAATGGGGTATGCCTGGTTAATGAAAATGGGGAAAATGATGCTAAACCATTGGAACTGTAGGTGCCCCATAGCTAAGTGGATTTATAACTCCAGGGGTTTCTGGGGCTCTTATCTACAGTTTATATATAACTCCTGTAAATGGGAGCATGTACCAAAGTATAACTGGGGCGCACCACCCTGTATAGCCATCCTGAAACAGATAGAATATCAAAATAATCTTCCCATTTCTGTAAGGTTTGTTTCCGAAAGCCCGATATTCTATCTACTCCAGGATGACTATTTATATATGTGTATATATATATTATATATATATGTATATGTATATATATATATATGTATATGTGTGTGTTCGATGGCATTGGTAAATTGGCTTCAATGGGGATGTCTCCAAATATAAATGGAAACTTTTAAATTAGATACATATGTATATATATATAATATAATGGTTACTTTTACTGAAATAACTGTGGGGAGATTACTGATGGAAAACTTGGCGAAATGACTGATGGTGATTTTCTACAGGATAGAGATGTAATGAGATACAGCATCAAGAAGATCTGGTTTGAGAATGATTTGTTTGTTTGTCTGAAAACTGCCATGGTACCAGTAACAACAGAAAACGCATACTTCATTGGATTATTTGGAAAATACTTAGATATGTACATATTGAAAATCAGCCTGAATATTGATGCAATATAGCAACGCCAAAAACAAACACAAAAGTAACAACCTGATAAAACAGCGGCACAATGCGGCAAATAACGTTTTCATCTTTCTGGGGTAACTGCTTACAAAAAAAACAATATTTTCCCACCTGCCAGGTGAGGGTCTCTAGGTTTTATATGAATTTATCACAAATCCATCCCTCCTCCTCAACCGTTCTCGCCCTCCAGCTCCTCAACCGCAAGCTGCAGACGGCAGTGGGCACTGCCGGACCTCAACCGCGAGTGCCAGATCTCAGTGGGCCCTGCCGGACCTCATCCGCGAGTGCCAGATCTCAGTGGGCCCTGCCGGGCCGCAACCGTGAGCGCCAGATGTCAGTGAGCATTGCTGGACCTCAACGGCGAGCCCCAGAGCTCAGTGGGCACTGCCGGACGTCAACTGCGAGAGCCGGATCTCAGTGGGCACTGCGGGACATCAATTGCGAGTGCAAAATGTCACATAGAATGTTAGATAGAATGTCAAATAGAATGCCAGAATTAGAATGTCAGAATAGATGCCAAATAGAATGTCAGAATATAGATTTGATATATGCCATTTTTACTTTTCAGATCTTTTCAGAAGCTATGTCAGAGTAGTGTGTGGGGTGGGGATCACTCGAAGAAAGTAATTCTTTGTTAGTTTGTCAGCATGTTTATGCCAAAAGAATGGAGATAAAACCTGGTTCATGCATGAGGATAAGCATGCTACACGGCTATACAATAGTTCATTATCTGACGAACAACAAACGAAGGAAACCAAGGGATATTTATGGTTGTGACCAAGAAAACGGGTGGATTTCAGCAAACCGAAAACTATTTGATCCGGATTGCCCAAAGTCCACCCATCTAAAATCATTAATCTTCTACTAATACCACATAAAGGAACATCAAAATCCATAATACATGGATCCGATGACGGTAATCTAAACATACAAGTAGCAATAGAAAAGACACAATTAGGAAACAATATTCCGCCTATCTAAAACTGGGGACAAACCTGCTTAAGGCTTACACCCTGAAATGCGGGGTTTCTTTGAAAGAAATACGGATATCAACTATACTATTGTTACCAGCCAAGCAAGGGGAATAAACCTGGCTATACCATGCTATACCTCAATTTCTGCGGTAGTAGAAGCAAAACAAATATTTTCTCCCGCTGAACTTTAAAATTGGTATTCAACGAAGAATCCATCGATATCTGTGTTTATGTCACCAAAACAAGTGTTCAGCTACGAGTTCCAATCACAAAGATTTAACAGGATCTGATCAACAAACACTGTTAAAAAGCATAGGAAAAAAGATGCCTTGCACTATCAAGTGTGATGGCTGGAAGCGATGCAGAATCCTGCAATGAGTCACGAGGTGAGTTTTTGGGAGCGAACATTATTGACATGTATTTACCAGTTTCCATATGTTTCCATAAGGCTTGGCATTTACTTCCGAGTCAAGCTCCTTGGTAAATGGTGATATCCTGTGATATCCCACGGATCAGGCTACTCTTGGCACAATCCAACACAGTAATTACTCAGTAATTGGCAGCCGTCCTAAAAATTATAAGCTTATCACTTACCACAAGAATCCATCCCGACAATTTGACAACTGGGCAAATTACAACTCCTATCGCGAACCGAATCTTGATATATTGATCATGTGTCACATCATATCACTGTCCGGGAGAACCAAAACCCTAAGAATTCCTCGGGTCAACACAAGAACCTGAGGTATTTTGGACAAAATAAGAAAACATCGGTTTTCGATTGAAAACCTCGGGTAATGATTTTGAACCCGCACCTAACCCGTACCTAACCCGTACTTTCAGAATGGGTAAAAATACCTCGGGTTTTGTTGGAAAAGCTCGGGTATTTTTCAAACCCTAAGATTTCTGCGGGTTTTGGTTCTCAAGGGTTGTATTGCTTTCCTTTAAAACACGTTGTTCGACCCATGTTTTCTGCTTCCCTCAGGTTGGTCTCCCAGCATGGCATTGACTCGCCCGTCACCAGGAGGTTCACCCAACGAGACCTGGGACCTGCCAACGTGGCTATGGCAAATAATTACAGGTGGAAAATTTAAGGGTGAACCGAACTAGAACTTTATATGGGATAATGATATAAAGCAACACATTATTAATATTTATTGCCTGAACATGGGCACATATCCCGTTATGGTCAAGTTCATTGGGCATACAACCATTAGATTTTGGGGTACCCGATTCTCAGACAAACCCAAAATTCGAACCAGCATCATTTTCGGGTTCAGTGCCCTTTTCGAATCAGCATCGACTGTATCATGCTTGGCTCGGAAAATTGGAGATTTCCCCAACTATAATGGTGGTCTATGAAAATAGCTGGATGTTCATCCCCTCGCATTCGCATAGAAAACTGATGAAAATTGTAAAAACTGTGAAACCATGCGTATCGACCCATCCCAAATTGGATGCTTTACCAAATATGTTCATATGACATATGTTTTCACCTATTCCCAACTCATGTACATCCCCATCAAATTCATGATTGACTATCATGTGCTTGAAAAAACTCTTGATAGCTCCCAGGGCTCACCACTTCTTTTTCGGAAATAGATTAAGATAGATTAGAGGGTTCCTAAGTTCAGAACCCATATGGATACAACATGATTCACATGATCGAACCATAGCTCATAGCTCCGTTCACAGTTCCCTCAGCAACTCAGGGCCTCGCCTTGGGATTCCGGGACGAAGTTCATTTGCTTGAGTGCTGCGCATTGCTCCTCGTCGGAGGCCTGCAAGAGCACAAGGATGTCACAGGACTGGGATTTAACATGATGGGTTTTGAATCGTTTTGACATAGTTTAATCCTCATAAAATCTCAAAACTTGGGATTTAACATGATTCAATTGGCAAACAATGGAATTTCAACAGCCAAAATGAGGATTAGCCAAGAAACCATGGGCAGTTACTCAGAGTATCTCAGAGTACTCCACCAAAAAATAGGGTTTTGACCAACAAACACTAACACCAATGACAAATAGCGATCATTGGGTGATTTTCAATTGCCAGCATAAATTACTGGAGGGTAGGGGTTATGACCGCGCGCTGCAGTTCTCAGTTTTAACTCCTACTATTTATGGAATGCTGGATGCTGTCTGCCCAGAGTTAAGTCGGGGATATGTTCTATTTAAGGCCGCAGAAACCAGATTGATGCTAACAGGATCTAGGGGTGGCAACAGGATTGCTGATTTTTTTTGGGCTTGCTGGAAACTTTGAGGATTCTCAGGATCAAGCAAAACGGTTTCTTGTATTTTCCTGTGATTCTTCCTGCAAACGAATTCTTGAAGTGTGTCTTCCCTTCTGCATTCCCAACCAAATTAATGTCGCCTGCTCCCAGCGTAGCTTCAACAGCGCTTCCTGCAAAACCCAAGCTCCGCGCAACAGAAGTCTAGCATGGTCACTTAGGTCCACTGCATAATAGAAGCAAATGAGATGGGACATGTTGGGACATACACAACATGCCAAGGAGACATGGGGTTCCCAAAAACTGGCAAATTCAAAAGTTGAAACGTGCAACAAACCCACCGAAAGATCATGAAACACCATGTTCCTTAATGGATCCATCATGGACCCCGTATTGGTTGAACCCAACTTTTGTTGCTGGTTAGACCGCAATGGTGAATCCTTATTTTTTGTTGGTGTCTACTCGCATGTAACACCTAGTTGAGCTTGGTAACAATGCAACCCACAGTCCACCACCATTTTCTGCTTCTATACATGTGTTTGTCTCGAAATGGGGGATGCTCCCATTTTTCTGGCCTTTCTTAAACGAGAACACGATGATAAGTCCATAATTCTTGCACTAAGTCAAAAGCCTGGTCCCCTACTGTTCATCCTGAAATAACCATAAATAACCGAGATTTTTGGATGTTCATCCCCCAAACTCCCAAAACAATGGTAGCTATAGGTATTGACATGTATTGACCCATCCCATTGCAAGATCACATAAGGTCATATAAGATCATATGAGATCATACATCATATATCATCATATGAGATAATCACTGATATAACCAACATTTCCATATTTATTTTGCTCCAGCAATGCACCCCCCCGTCCCCGGGGCGCATCCCGAAAAACTCATCCTCCGCGTCGATCATCCAGATGCTCGCCGCGCCATCGTTGCAGCACAAGACGCGCAGCAGGAAGTGGGACACGGCGTCCATCTCGGCATCGAAAAGCCTCAGACTTTGATCTGTCATGTGGATATTACTGGGGATATAACTAGGGATATGACTGATATATGACATGACTGGGGATATAACTGATATAACCAACAAGAGGATTTTAATAGGAACGGATGTAATCAATTTCATATAATGACGTATTAGATGGTTTTGTATGCAAATGATCAAATGGAGGTTTCCTATGTTCATAGTGGTACCCCCAAATCATCCAAGATTGCTGCAAATCATTTTAGGATTGAAACCTATGGTGACTGGGGGATCCCCGATTTCAAGAAACCACCAATATGATTCAACCAACCCCATCAACCCGTCGCTGACCCCAACAACCACTACATAGGGCTTAGATTCCCCAAGCAGTGTAATAATGCACGGGCAAAGCAAACATCATCTCAGTTGCAAGGAATTGTTTCAAGTAATGGGAAACCTTGCGAACCACAAGAATTTTCCTATCATACTTGATGTTCAAAAGTATAACCATGGATTCCTGTAAATATTTCAACTCAAATGAATCCATTGACAGATCTGTCAGGAGACATGTCGATCAGAAGTAAACAGGGTGTACCTCGTTGCAATATGTTACAATGGCTTACGATACTGAATGACTTCTTTGCGGCATGGCTTACTCAACAACCAGCCTGCCATGACCCCAGCAGTGCTGGGATTTGCTTAGGGGCCCAAAAAATCAAAGCATATGAGCAGTAGATTCCCCACAGGCTGGATTTGCAATGGGAAATGTTACAAAAATTGTCTTCAGCAAATTCAGGATTTTACGAAATACTCTTAACATCTCCGGACATTGGATTCATTGGATCTAATACTATATAATCGGTCACAGTGTGGATGGACCAATTCCAGTGCCAGTGCTCATGGCTAAACTTGTTACTTTGATCCCACACCTGAAAGCGTATGAAAGCTTTAGTTTGAGTGATCCATTGAAATCCAACAAAGCCCTAGAAAGTCGTGTTTGGCTACAACCCACGAAGCAAAAGGATCGACAGTCTTTCAACATCGACAGTGCAAGAGATGTGCCGAGTGGCAACGGAAGAAATCCGGAAGCGCCAGGATCATCATTTTTCACCTGACCATGGAGGTCCCAATAGCACCATACTGTATCAAAAAAAAAAGATCCAAAAGGACCCATAAATTACTGTATATAAAATCTATAATTATAATCATCTACGACAATTGAAAAGTTGTCAGGCATCACTACAGCAAAGGGCTGGGTGCGTGAGGTACGGGGATCTTGTGGCTGCAGCCACACGTGATTCAGCTGTTCTTTCATAGTGCTTTGCAAGAGTGCAGCAATCAGAAGGGGATGGAGTGGTTGACATTTGGTGAAATAGCAAGTTTGATCCATCCCCATATTCCTATCATCTGAGTGTCAGTCACTTGTCAGCCACAAAACAATAAAGATAAATAAAAGAGCCACTTACTGTATGACAACCAAAGTGGACAAAGCCCCCGCACAAAAATCATGCAATGTGATCTTCTAGCGTTCAATTCTAACAATCGAGGGGTGGTCCCTTCGCCTAGGAAATAAACTATCTAGAGTCTACAGTAGATTGGAAAGGACATCAAATTACAATAAACATATGCATAGCTTTTTGGGTTGTCTTTGTAGTTTGGTAGTCTGTGCTGAAGTGGGTCGAGACCCAAACTTTGCGGAACATGGACACCCTGGATTACAGAATTTGATTTGGAGTCTACCTGGCCCCCAAACTTCTTCAACAAGTGTCGATGATACAAGCGATGTTCTAGACTCTATCCCCCACACACCCCTCAGCCGTATTTCTGAAATGGTCTTCTTGGAACTTGGAAAAAACACAATAGGAGATGTTCAAAAAATGACTCAATACTAACATCAAGATTTCAACATCATCAAACACATCAAAACTTTTGGGTCAAACAATCTCCAAGTTGAAGGCCATTGAAGGCGGCCACAGATTGCGCCAAATTCTGACCGCCTTCTCTAGGAGTTCCAAGCGAGTCTGACCCAACTCCTGATGCACAAAGAAATATTATAGCCAAGTTCGCGGCCTCAACTTGGCAGAGACATTTTCACATAAGAACCTTTGATTCTTTTTGGCTACTGGTTGGTGGTTTCAACCCCTCTGAAGAATATTAATCAGTTGGTATTATTATTCCCAATATATGGAACAAAAATATGTTCCAAACCACCAACCAGGCTATTATATGCATTGATTATTGATATATGCCGAAATTTCCGACGCCAATGACATGCAAGACATTGCAAGACTATGGCTGTTGTTGAACATAAATATCATAAATGGAAACATCACAAATTCACCGCTGGATCTGCAAAATAAAACATTTTGACATACACCTTATATGCACATCGATTAAACACGATTAAAAGGCGCATCAACCGTCCACAAAACTTGCTGTCATGGAACCCATCGCTGTCCTGAAGAATTTCTTGAGAGAAAATGGCATCCGGCGTGTTCAGGTACCTTGGTGCGGGGGCACAGTGCCACCTTCTTTGCGTCATCTTGTGCCGGAGCCTTTTTTGAACTTTCAAAGGATACCTGGAAATCAGTTGTAGCAATTCACTAACCTGAAATAAGATGAAGTAAGGACATTTTGGGATAGTTCTCCAAATCCATCCAAATCCTAACCATCATTCCAGTGACACCGCAGTGAGGTGGTTATAATATGTTATAATCTATTCAGCAGTGCCGTACGTTGATCAAGTGAAAAGGTCCATCAAGTGTATCTTCCTGGAACACCATATTTGGATTTGGATTGGTTTGTGGGAACACCTGCAGGGCATTAAATTTCTTCAATGTCTTTTTTTCATTTCCGTTCAAACAAAAAATCATAGCGGTTCCATGCAAATGCAGTGTTTTCGAGCAGGGTTCTTGGCAAATCAAGGAGATTCGTCTGGCACAATACTATGCCAAGATGCACAGGCACAGTTCCTAGGACCTGGCACTGAAGTAGACGTGGAAGAGGGGCGGGAAACTCCAAGGTGGGGACATACTCAACTACCAGTAAATCAAACATGACTTGCTGGAAAATCCGACCACTTTCATAGAAACTTCCGAACACAGAAACTCAGGCATCAGTGACAGCATCCTTTTCCGCTGTTTACATGTTCGCAGTCTCACTCTAGGGGCGAAGAACGATCTCTGGAATGGTGAAGGTGTGGTTCAAGCTTGCAACTGGATATGAACGTCAAGCACCTGCATCCCTGGAGTTTGACCTGCCCGGCAATAGTCCATATCATGATTATCATGGTCAGTCTTGAACACCATACATTTCTTATTTGTTTGGTTGGGTTCTTATCTTCCCAAGTCACCCGTCCAGGGCCTGCTGGGACGCCAAGACATCGCTTATGTCAAGCATGTTTTTCATTGCTGCATGGCAGTGAATTAGAGGTCTTCATATGTCTTCATTCACTGCATTCTGTTCTGTCAATCAGCCATGAGAAATCATGAGAATTCTATGAAGTTCGACAGTCCGACATTTGGATTTTCGACCAAACAGTTTTTAGTTCACTACAGTGTCCAGCAGAAGATGCCAAATCGAAACCTGCAATGATCTGCTCGCCCAGAGGAGTTCGCTGGAACTCTCTCTCTGGCGAGCGGAAATTTTGGGGTGTCCTCACAGCTCACATGGCCATGGCACAAGTGAACTTACCAAAGTGGACTATTTTACGATGATACAGTAAAACATATTTTTGTAGATTTGCTTGGAACATCATTTTTTTACCCCAAAAAATCATCAACCCAACATCAGCCGTGGCATGTTTTGAACTTCCGCCGACTCCTTGACCTACTGTCTGAGCAAAGCGCAAAATGCGGGAAGGTTCGTTACTTTTTGGTAACATCATGGTGTTTGTATGATAAAAAACAAGTAAAACACACGGTACATACATATATATATATATACATATATATATTATATTATAAACTCATTCGCCCATTCAAATGGATGTTTCCATCACCAAATTCTGGGCATTTGTCATTGGAGACCCCTTTCCAGCTAATCAGCTATCGGCGAGTTGCTGGATGGAAATCCGCAGCCTCAAGTAAATCAAGTAATGAATCGGTTGAGGGTATCACCAGAATCTAGTCATCACATTTCTCTGGGTATACCGCTGTAGACGAGGCTCAGCCCCAGGCAATTTTGCACATCAATCACCACACCTGTTTGGACCATGCCAGATAGCGCCCAGATGCTTTTGGAGCCTGAACAATTGCCATGTCCATCTGAGAATCAGCTTCCAATTGATGATGGTAGCTTCCAGGGCTGTAATCACTTACCTGTTGCAGCTGTATATTTTGTTGCAAGCCATTTTGACATTACTTGGGCAAGTCGCAAGGCACTACCCCGATCCAACCGTCGCATCCAGTCACCGCGATCTTTTTGTCGCAGCCGGTTTCGGTTTCCAATGCACCTGGGAGCATCAACGGTGCACATCGGTCATCACCGATCTACCTGATTTATGTATAGGAAAATCCATGGTTTATGAAGAAGATTCTTTAAATCGTGGGTTTTCCACATCTATGTTAGTTTACCCCGGGGCACTTCACCAACCGGACATGTTTGGTTATAATGGGATGATTTCCCCTAACCATCATCAATAGTGAGGTCCTTGTGACGTGGTTGCACTTCAGCCAGGTGGTTTCCCAATTTTTTCTCCAGTCCAATTCAGGGATGATGGCTAGAAGTGGATTTTTGGTATATCAGTCAGTGTATATCAATGTATCATAGGTTTGACCACCCATCCCCGTGTCACCAACTGATCTGGCTGGTGGCTTCACGCTATCCTAAACATATCAAACATGTGAAAGTCAACTGGGATCAACGGGGGGTTGATGGAAAAGCACAAGCATCTGACATCCAGATATGGATGTGAGTCAAAACTAGGCCCTAAATGATATGGTTTACCTAATACATGACATCAAGTATCACCAACTGATCATTTTTTCGATAGCCCGATTTCCTTGAAACCCGCCCATGCAAACCCAAGAGCACCCCCCCTTGGAGGTTCATCCCACTTAGCAACTCAGTCAAACCCCTCGCCCCTCGCTGGACCTTGAGCATCAGCTGGCACCGCCAAAGATCAGACGTTGGATCTGGTACCTGAAGTGGTTACCATCCAAAAATGCCGCCGGAATCATGGCCAGCCATGGCCAACCAAATCCAACCAAGGCATAGCCAGAAAAATGCAGCTTATGACCTGGATTCCCCCCTCCAAACAACACGCCCAGACAAGATTTTTCGCCTGTCACCCGAGGATGAACAGAAACACTGGTTCTTTGTACTTTCAGGATTTAGGATTTAAGGGTTTTGGGTGTGAGGTGTGCAAGGGTTTTTTAGGGTTCAATTTTGCTGAAGGCTAACCTCTGGGACCTTCAAGGCCTGTGACCTATCCCTTTCGCGCACACACCGATGCCACAGAAGAAACCCACGGCAGCCCACAGGCCCACGTTGCGGAAATACCTCGGCAGAAGCCAAGGATTCCTGTTGGCTGGTTTCGAACCTTCTGAGAAATATGGTCATGACATGTCATGACTGATCACTATCCCAAAGGGGGAAAATAAACACATGTTTGAAGTCAAAACCAGATTCTGAGCCCAGGTTCTGTCTGGGTGACCTCCGTAAAACACTTCTAGAAAACGTGATGGATTTATGCAGAAGCTGAAAAAAGAACAACCCCAAAATCCTCAAAAACCATGGATGCCGTTCTGCAATTTTCCTCTCAATCACCTTGGGCCATGGAGTGAATGCCATTCGACTGCTGCCCTGGCACCAAAGAAATCCGACATGCTCCATACTCATCAGCGTCACACCCGCGATGCTGCCAATCGCCAGTGTAGACCTCGGTTAAAAAAAACACGCTTGGTCCCGCTGCTTGCGGTTTACAGGAAGGCTATAGTGCGATTTCTTTGTTTGTGGTGATGGTCGGTGGCGGAACTCTCAATTGTCCATCTTTCCCTTGGAAGCAAACCTGGTGATTCTGATTGAACCAGCCAACCCAAAACCATGATACAGTCGTCTTTGTAATCTCGTCCCAGGTATACTCAGAACTAACATGTGTTGATTGAATTTATATACATATTTAAAACCATAAACTCGATTATCATATATATATATAGTATATAAAATTATATATAATACAGTATATGTATATATATATTGTACAGTATATATGTATATACAATAATATGTATATATATATGATTATATGATATTATGTGTGTTTGAACCCCTCTGAAAAATATTAGTCGGTGGGGATGATTGTTCTCAATATATGGAAAAATAAAAAATGTTCCAAACCAATAATCAGGTATACATACACATTTCTTACATAGTTATCAGCAAAAACAAGAGATCGGCTGAAAGATCCAGGCCCCAAGTTCTCCAACATTTGCGAGGGGGTGACCACCACGGACCAGCCCAGAGTGGGATGCTTCGGGATGATTGAGTGGACTAGAACTGAAATCCGTAGTTCCACGGATTTCACAGGCCTTCAAAAATGACAGATTCCCACATCGGCAGCACCTCACTGGATGCTTCAACCTCACTGGGTCCACATGCCCACCGGTACCAGCAGCTAAAGCCACCAATTGCCATAGTGGATCATCTGTTGGAGTCTGGCGGGAAAGCGGTCCAGTTGCTCCAGATGTTCTGAGGCAGAAACCCCTTTTTGTGGGAAAACTGAAGGACAACCCTGTGAACATGCCCTATTATATCCCTAATATCCCTACCTTCTGGAAAAATTGTCAAATTTAGAGAGCGTGTGTCAGTGAATTTCCCCATCATTGCAAAAACCACTTAAAGATATCCGGACATGTTAGCCGCTGAATCTACCAGCAAATCCCTGAACATGTTTTCACACAATTCTTGATGGTTCTAGCCGATTGACATCTCTAGTCAGATACCAGTGCTTTCACATCCTGAAATATTGGTAGAAAAGCACAAATAAACAAGTGAACATTCACATATCATTGAATACATATATATATATATATATGTAAATATATAAAATATGAGTTAACATGAATACCAGTAGTGCCGCACAAGGCGGTGGCGGAAGATTCAAAAATAGGAAACCTGTAGGAGAGGTTGGTTGTTGTGAATCACGGATGGCAGAGCGAATCCACTGATGGACCGAAAGGTGGTTGGAGTTGTGTTTTTTGGAATGGTTGCAATGGTTGCAGTGGTCACCTCTTCCTCAACTGCTTGATGTGGCGTGGTGTAGTGCAGTTGTAGTTGCAGTTGTAGCTGTAATTGTAGTGTAGTGTAGAGGAGCTGTAGGTGTAATGTAGTGTATTTAATTTATTGGCAAGTGCAGTTGCAGTTGTAGTCGTGGTGATGTAATTAGTGTAGCGTAGTGCAGTGTAATGTCGTGTAGTGTTGTGTAATGTAGTGTGGTATAGTGTAGTCTAGCGTAAGGTAGTGTAGTTGTAGTTGTGGTGTAGTGCCGTGCAATTAGTGTAGTGTAGTGTCGTGTAGTGTTGTGTAATGTAGTATGTGTAGTGTAGTGTAGTGTAATGTAACGTGGTGGGAGTTGCAGTTGTAGTTGTAGTTGCAGCTGCAACTGCAGTTGTAGTGTAATGCAATGTAATCAGTGCAGTGTAGTGTTGTGCAATGTAGTGTGGTTGTAGTTGTAGTTGTAGTTGTAGAGTGCTGCAATGTAATTAGTGTAGTGTAGAGTAGTTGTAATTGTAGTTGTAGTTGTGGTACTGGTAGTAGTAGTTGTAGTTGTAGTTGCTTGTGTAATTCGTGTAGTGTAGTGTAATTAGATGAAATTAGTGTATTGTAGTGTAATTAGTGTAGTGTAATGTAGCGTAGTATATTTGTATTTGTAGCTGTAGCAGTAGTGTAGTGTAGTGTAGTGGTAGTTGTAGTTGTAATTGTCTATCTATCTATCTGTCTATCTGTCTGTCTGTCTGCCTGACTAGCTGCAAGCTTGAAAACGCAGCTATTTTGCGACACTTCCTCAGCTTTTTCGAATTGACAACATCAAAAACGCAGCAATTCTACGAGACTTCCTTAATATTTGAACTTGACAACGTCAAAAACGAAAGAATTCTGCGAGACTTCCTCATTGATCGAAGTTGACAGCATCAAAAATGAAGCACTTCTGCGAGACTTCTTTCAAACATGGAAAGTTGAGTGCAGAGCTGACGGCCTCGTACCAATGCGTTTTGCAATTTTTCCACTCCACCTGTCTAAACTACTGCGCCCGCCACGAAAAAGTGAAGCCAGGTCATACGAAGTGCCGCGCCCGGCACGCAAAATCATCTTCCCCAAACTGAAGATCTGATGCTCCAAAATGCAACCTCTCTCAGGAAATCAGCGCCGGGACCTCCTGACAGCTCTGCTGAACATGTCTCTTG